CTATCCAACTTTCACATTAGAATCCGACCACATTTGAGAAGTTTGTCCAAATGCATTAACAAATTCGGCATCGAGCAACTCCTGGACAGCTCAAGGAAGATCTGATCGAACATATATGTGTCGTTAGGGGATAACTAGAACATATGTGTGAGCTGAATTCAGGTTTGACTATTTTATTTTAAAATTTTAGTTGAAATTTAATATTTAAATATCATCTACTATCGCATTTTAATATTTTCACTCATTGTAGATTTGATGTGCAATTATTTTGAGCGTTGCAGAAATTAGAAATCAGAGAAAGGAACATTGTCGGATGACCGGCTCATAATTTATATTCGCGGTTTTGAGGGACATTTTAAGGGACGCGTCTAGGGAGCAGCCGGGTGCTCCCTAGCATTTCCTGGCAGCCACCCAGATATAGTAATTTTCTTTCCCCCCTGTCCAGGATAGGAAAGTACCTGGCCCCCGCTCCCGATTCCCGCAGCCACCCATCGAGCGGGCAAATCACCTGGTCCTTCCCCTTCGCCCGATCCCTCCCCCACCCCTGCGCGTCTTCTTTTCTCCTTTCTCCTCACCTAACCCCCAGCCCCATCTTCTTCTCTCCCAAGTAAAAAAGGACATCACGCCCCTTCCCCTCACCACTTCCAGATCCAAGAAAACCTTCACAGCCCTCCAATGGCGGCTCCACTGATGTTTCTTCTCTAGGCGCCTCGTTCCTGATTGCCTTGCAAAAAGGCAAAAAAGCAAGGCAAAAAGGTCAGATTTAGCTCATCTTCCCGATCCCCTCCTCTTTCCCCACGATTTGTACAAGGCTTCAGTTGTGCAAAACATTGTGTAAAAAAGATGTGAAGTTAAGCATCTTTAGTCTGCTGTTTAGGCAAGTTTCAGCCCCTTGATTTGGGAAAATTTAGTCTGATCTTAAGCATGATATTTCTTCCTAGTTTTCAAAATCTATTTGCAAATCTATAGCATATGAACACATTTATAGATCTGTAGGCAAGTGCTGATAGTAAATGCTGGGGACAAATATATTAGGAAAATATAATGCCTTAAGCAAGAAAAACAACTGAGCAAAAACAGTACTTATAAGAGGATGAGAAACAACTGATCATGATCTATTTCTGATGTGTTCTGGTTCTATTAATTGCTTATAACAGTGCAAAAAAGACATTCTGTTGGAGCAAAAACAGTGCTATAATGAGGCAACTAAGTATATGTATGCACAAAACTTTGAAAACTTATGCCATGGCAAAACATGAACACTTTTGAAACTTATAAGACAATGGAAAAGAAGGGGAAAACAAGGATTCCCCCCCCCTATCAGATCTTTTGGGAGCATGTGGACCAAAAACAAATGGCTTATTGGAGCAACTTGCATTATAGGATTAAGAAAAAAAGCATAATGATGTCAAGGCAACTCTTGAAGAAAACTAGAGAAAGATTCCTCTTGGACATTTGTTTCCATTATTCCTTGGTTTCGATAGTGAAAAAACACTAGAAGAAATAAATGTAACTAAAATTGCAACTAAAAAACAAGAGACGGTTGCGTAGTACAATTTACCTTTGTTGTATCATATCCTTCACCATGATCCAAGAAAAGTTGGAAAGTTGCCAGGATACAGTGGCAAAATTATTAGTATTTCATCCTGCAAAAGAAGAAAAAAGCCAACAAGAAAATCCATATACCAACAACTATCTCAGCGGCAAAACGTTACTTCAAAAACATACTGAGCATATCCAAAAACACACAAACTTGCTGCTGTAAAAGATGAAACCTAAAAATGTCAACTTAAGTTCTTTCTAACACACAAACTTAGGTACTGAAAGCAGAAGTAGTCTGAATATAAAAGAGCTATCATGCCCATAATTCTAACTTAAGTTTTTCCTAACACTAAACATGCTCTAATCTCTCTGAATTGGGAGTGAATTCCATTCTGAAGACACTTCAAAGTAGCATTTCTATGGCAGTATGCTTGCTTCCCCAAAATCAAATGTTGCCTGCGTTTAAGAAAAACAAAATAAGAAAATATATTATGAAACACATAAAACAAAAAGCCTATGTTATGTTTATATGTACAAACATGATTCATCAATACAAAAAACATGCATATCCTGAAAATAATATATTGCCTGACATATATAGTTTGACTTGCCTGATTATATGGTTTGGGTTGCCTGATAGTGAACTTTGAATTGCCTGGTTTTGTTCAATTGCTATCTTATGAATCTGGTGTGCTTGCGTTGCTGTGTTGTTTGCTTGCCTGAGTTTAGTGTGGTACTAGCTTGCCTCAAGAACGTAAAAATTGCTCTAATTTTTCTGGTTGAAAAAATGCACAGGTTGAACATGATTGAGCTATTTTTGTGTGCTTGGGTAGGTGTACTATTGGCTTGCCTGTACTTACTGTGCTACTTGCCTCCATCCCTCTGCTGACTTGCTTTACTTTTTCACATATTCTCAATAAATAAACAGGTTGACAATGATTGACCTAAATGAGGAACCAGCTCAAAATAATGATGATCCTTTGTACTGTACACAACATGCTACTGGAAATGCAGAATTTGTGGCAGAATCACCTAATCCCCCTATCATCCAAAGAGTCGATGGTGCTGCTACAGAAGCAATGGAGACAGATGGGCAGTCAAGTCATGGGGGGCGTGCTTCGGGCAGTACACAAGTACCTACAGCTGTAACAGCTGGGAGTGATGCTCATACCCTTGATGGCACAGGTGCTGCAGGTGATACCGGTGGCACTGTTGGTAATGGTTTGGGTGCTGAAAATGATGATGAAGCTTGGTCACAGCCCAAGGAGCCTTACGTGGGCATGAGGTTCGACACTTTGGAAGATGCCAAGGTGCATTACAATGCATATTCCTTGCAGATGGGTTTTTCAATCAAAATGAATAGTTCAAGGAAGGATATGAAAACTAGGGAGTTGATAAAACAACAGTTTGTTTGCAACAAGTTTTGAAAGCCTGATGTTGATGACAGAGGGGCAGAAAAGATTCCCGTGCTAGATGACATTGTTGAGCAAGCAAAAGATAATAATGAAGATGAGGCTATTGTCTTTCTTGATGATGATAGTAAGGGCAAAAAGAGGAGCAAGAAACGAAAAAGAGATAAAATTGTGCAAACTGGTTGCAAAGCTAAGATGATTGTGAAGGTAATATATGGCAGATGGGAGATGATCTACTTTGTTAGCAAGCACAACCATCCGTTGATTGACAAGGCATGTTTGACTAAGTATTTGCGATCATACCAAGGGATACCGCCAGAAGAAAGGGCCTTCCTTACTCACCTTCATAACTGCAATTTAACTACAGGTTTTGAACCACACCCACCTCCCCCCTATCTTCCAACTTTAAGAACTTGGACATGCCTACTGGTTGTGTGTTTCTTAGTCCATCAACAAGTACCTGATTTTGCTTGAAACATGTCACTAATTTGCTTCAAACATATGCCTTAGTTGCTTGATAGTGACACTAAATTGCTTATAACAGTACAAAAAGAGATAAAATGCCTAATTTGTTTCTGGATGCTGGACTTGCCTAATGTTTACCTATTTCTTGCTCAATGCAAAAGTTACTACTTGCCTGGTTTTTTTATAAAATAAATTTGGTGTTGAATCTGAACTTGCCTATGATTAGTCTCTTTGTAGCTAAAATGTACAATAGTACTTGTTGTAGTTGCTTCTATAGCTTCATGAATTGCCCAAGCTTTGCATTTGAGTTGCCTTGCTGAAAACACAAAAGAAGCTATTTTTGGCGTTGTTTTTGTGTGGAAAAAGGATTGACCACCATTGTGACTTCATGTCAACAGGTCATATGATGCACATCATGTCAGATTTCTATGGGACAGAACTCATTGTACCTTATAGCACAAAGCACATTACAAACCTCAAGATGCTCTTAAGCAAGGATGATACAAAAGAAGGGGATATGACGGAGACAATTGCTTACTTTAAAGATCAGCATAGGGAGGATCCAGATTTTTTTACAAGATAAAATATGATGAGGAAGACAGGGTTGAGAATATTTTCTGGGTCGATGGTGCAGCAGGGAAGGCGTACGTGGAATCTTATCATGATTGTATCTCCTTTGACACAACGTATATGACTAACATGTACAACATGCCCTTTGCACCATTCATTGGGATTAACATGCATGGGCAGTCATTCATGTTGGGCTGTGGCTTTGTTAGGCAAGAGTTGGCGTCAAGCTTTGATTGGCTATTCCAAACCTTCCTTGAGGCAATGCATAATGTAGCACCCACCAACATCATAACCGACCAAGACATCGCAATGGCACAGTCAATTAAAAAGATCTTTCCTACAAGTGTGCACCGCTGTTGTCGCTGGCATATTATGAAAAAAGCACAAGAAAAGCTTGGAGCATTGCTGGAGCGAAACCCTGGCTTGTCCAAAGATTTCAACAACTGTGTTGACTTTAGCTTGACGTCGGAAGAATTTGAGGCAGGGTAGTGTGAGCTGATGATGAAGTATGAGGCTATGACTGACTCTCACTTCGAGAATCTATACAAGTACAGAGAGACATGGGTACCCTGCTACTTCAAGCACCAATTCTTCCCTTTCTTGCAGTCAACTCAATGCAGCGAGGGGTTCAATGCTGTCCTTAAGCGATATGTGAACCCACACAAGTCCATTTTGAACTTTGTGAAGCAATATCAGAAAATCCAAACACACATACTAGTCCGGGAGGTTTCAAAAGACTACAGGACAACACATTTACAGACTGAAATGTGGTTATCTTACCCAATAGAGAAGCAGGCATACGGATCGTATACTAGGGACTTGTACGAGAAGTTTCGTGATGAGTTTTAGTTGACTACAAGGTACAATGTGCGACCGCATGGTGAAAACTTGTATGAGGTTTACCCCAATCAAGGGTGGGTTGCCAAATATGGTTCTAGGGGCTATTTTGTCACGGTGGAAGCTAGTGCTGGAGACTACAGATGTGACTGCTGCAAGATTGAGAGGGACGACATGCTTTGCTGCCATATCTTGAAAGTTTTCAACCAACTTGGTGTTGATGAAATCCCAGCGCAGTACATACTTAGGAGATGGACACCTATAGCAATCCCCAGCGCACCCCCTGCTGTCGAAGAGCAACCTGATGAGATGCCACCACAGTCGAAAAAGGAACTCAGGCATGCTAATTTGATGATGGATTTTGGTAGTCTTGCCCGGGTTGCTAGTGCGTCAGATGCTGCAACGGATATTGTAAAGAAACATATGCATGGTGCGCATCATGAAATCAAAAATCTCAACATGTCAAAGAAGAAGAAAACGGCAGCACCAACAAGTGGGCCCTCTGGTGGTTCTGCACCACCATCAGCTGATGGTTCTGCGCCACAACCGAGTAACTCTCAGGCAACTGGTGGCCCTGCGGTGCGTCCTGAAGGGCCTGCACAATCCCCTTCTGGATCTAGACAACAGTGACCTACTTCTGCGCCACCACCGAGTAACACTCAGGCAACTAGTGACCCGGCGGTGCGTCCTGACGAACCTGCACAAACCTCTTCTGGACCTAGGCAGCAGCGATCTACTTCTGCACCGCGGAGAAAAAATGCACCAAAACTAGCTGGCAACTCTATGAGTGAGGATGGACACCAACAAACAGCGTTCAGGGCTGCAGTGATGCACGGGGAGGGGGGGGGGGGCTGTACCACTACCCAGGAGCCCTCCCACACAAAGCTGCTGGCCTGTACAACAACTGTCGGGATATGTGCCACTAAACAGTGGGGCAGCACCGCACCTTTCAAGGGGCTCAACAATGACAAGGCCTGTGCAAGCACTAAGAGGAGCTGCGCCACAACTTTTGATGCATACGGCACTAGTAAGAGGTCCTGCGCGACCTCCTATGGGTCCTAGACCGGCAATTTGGCCTGCACCACAAACTATGGGGGCTATACAACCACCGCGGGGGCCTAACGCGGCAAACACAACCTATGTGGCTATTCCTGGACTGGCACCATCGCCTGCATCATCAGCAACAGTGGATGGCAGGTATGGACAGTACCCAGGTTCTTCAACTACACAAGAAGAGAATGCCAATGCAATCCCATCTCCTATTGTGCAAGCTCCTGGTGGACATGCGCACCAGCCGCTTAGTATGGCATCTCTACATGCAGCTATTGCGGCCGCACAAGGTACTACGATGGTTCAAGCACAGTTTGGAAGACCTGCTACCACACTTGGCCCTGCAATTCCTAGAGACCCTCCAAAATCAACAACAAAAGGGAGGGCAAAGTCAAAAAGAATTCAATCAGCACTTGAGCTGCATCCGAAGAGAAAGAACAAGTGCAGCTATTGTGGTTCTGTTAACCACAATGGTGCAAGCTGCCCGACCAGATTGGTGTAATGGTCAAACAGTGACCAGATGGCTGAAAAGATGTGTCGAATGGAATTGACAAATTAACCTATTTGTGGGTCTGTATGTTTGAACATCCTAAACTATTATTTCTGGTTTACAGTTTCTTGTGGCTAACTTGCCTCACACTAGAGTTTGAGTTGCCTGGTTATAAGTTTTGAGTTGCCTGTTGTGTGCTTTGAATTGCCCCGCAGACACCCTTGATTGCCCCATAATGGTCGAAAACTTACATACATAAGATTCTGCAATGCTAAAAATGCAACAATTCGCTGGTTATGTAATGATCATAGTATTTGTCTTTTATGGGTTATTCTGAATAACTTGCCTCACAGTAAAGCTTAAATTTCCTGTTTATGCAATTGAGTTGCCTAGTCCAAGTTCTTATGCAGGCAACTCCCCCCTCGGCAGTCCAAAAGTTCACAAAAGAGCAAAGAAAACAACACATGCATTTACAGGGATGTAGTGTGCGTGAGGGGAGAAAAAACTGACCTATGCTAACTTGAGTATGGTTTTCCATGGAGCCTTGTTGTTGGTGTTGTCAACCCACGCGTTAGTCAACTATTTCCTTATGCTTGGAATATCCTCAACTGTGAAATTTGGAACAACCCTTGCCTCCCAACCGTTTGCTAGCGTCAGAGCAAAAACACCACAGTCGAACCTAAACAAAAATTGAAAAAAAAAGAACTTTTCTAGTTAGCTAGCTTCCTCTATGTAGTAGTGTGTCACTTGTAAAAAACTGAACAAAACCATAGTTAAAAAGAAGTGGATGCTTACTCATTGTTCTTATTTGGAAGGTCGATGTTGGTAAGCCCAAAGTCATCCAGCGAGACGCGAGAACTGGCGTAATGCTCTTCCCATAGAGACCGAAAACTTGCAACCATTTTCCTTGCGCAAACATATAAAGACTTGTTTTTTAGCGTCCTCCAAGAATCAAGAGCTTCAAAACGTCGATCCCTTATGTTCACGTTAAAAATCCAGTAATGATTGCCTGTTTTAGGCTTTGTCTTGTCAATGTTCTCTAAAACTGGGAACATAATCTGTTAGAAAAAAACAAATGGGGTTAGTATAAAAAAAATACTAGAAGCTGGATTTAAGCAACTTTTTCTGTGTGCTCTCACAAATTACGACATGGACTGAAGAAGCAAAAATGCACATGCATGTTTTGTACTTGTGTGAGTAATTTGCCAAAAAACAGAAAGATGCATAGGCAAGTTATGTACTTATGTAAGCAACCAGCCAAAAATGCACAGGCAAGTTATGCACATATGTAAGCAACTTGCCATAGAAAGCAATTTCATGGGTGTGGTCAACATGCCCCCCCCTAAGAAATTTTTACATTTTTATGAGCAAAAAGTTTTAGCATAAAAAGTCATATATAATGCATTGGTAAAAAGTAAAGAAACCATTGACTTACCATGTCTTTACGGTCCAAGCAATTCGACTTCTTGAACCGGGAAATGAGCTCCTTGCCGTTCAATTCCATGTTTTGCATCTGAACCTGATGTAAAAAAGAATACAGACATGACCATGACCTTTTATGCAAAAAGAAAAAGAAAGAAACGCAAAACTACACTGTTAGTTGCTTCGCGTTTTCTTACCGAGAACCTGACGGGCATCACGAGCTTCTTTGAGTCTGGTGGCAAGTTCATCATTATAGTCTCTATACCAACTTCCATTACATGGCTCACGACAAAACCTCCCTTCTTCATTGAGTTTGCGAGCTCCCTGACTGTGACAAAGTACTTGTCATATTCAATTACCCTTGGGCTGCATGAAAAAAAAGAGGCATTCAGCTCACAAAATCCTTCCATAATTTGCCTACCACCATTTCAACTTAGGAAAAACACATGGGGGGCATGGTCATATCAAGGAGAGACTGTTTCAAAAAAAGAATTTTACACTAAGACAAGTTGCCTGATTCCATAAGTGGATTGCTTGTAAACACAGTTTGAATTGCCTGGATAACATGATAGACCTTGCCTGGGGGAAAGTGCATTGTGCAAAAGCTGACAAAAAAGAAATGAAGTAACATACTGTCATACCTGGTATCCACATCTGGTGATTCTTCTTCATTAATTCTTCCATGCAAAATAACTGATGCATACAATCTATTTGCTTCGGGTTTGGGCATGTAGACTTTCTTCTCATTATAGTCAATGAATGGTGACCTCTTGCAAGGAGGTGGCTTGATAATCCTTCTCTCGAATTGATGTGGATGCATCTCTCCTGAGCTACTACTGCTATAAATCTTGCTGCCTGACCCCACTTCTCCTTGGTTAGAACTTTTTTCAGGTGTTTGGTACGCATTTCCTTCTGCTTGCACACACTGTTCATCTATGCCTTCAACGTCCAACAGATAATCATCATCGGTTATATTGATGATTGGCTGGTTATGTACTGGGAGTTCCTTGAACTCATGCTCTGCAAATGTGCTTGACCCAACATGTTCATGTGCTGTGTTGTCTGCAGATCTTGTGGGCAAATCATCTATGCCTAGATCGAAACTTGGTGCTGGGTAGTACTCTTTGAAAAAATCATTAGATCTTTCGGTGTCCCTTTGCTCAAAATGTTGTTTATCTTCATTTGCTAAGCTGTGATTTGTGGAGTTGGATTGGACATTCTTGCTGTTTGGATCAACACACCTTGCAAACAGCTCACTCACAGCTAGAACATTGATTTCTAGTGCATTGGTTACCTTCCCACTAACACGCATGAATTCGTGGTACCGCTCCTCCACATTAGAGAAATGGTAAGTGTTCCCCTGGCCAGTTGCTTCTACTGCTTCTGGAACACTTGTGGCCTCATGTTGGGCAAGTACAGTTGAGCAGACAGGCAATTTCCCTATGGCTCTTAGCAACTTTTGTTCTGGACTTTTTCCCATGGTTACAGCTTCGGGCAGGTCTTGTATCCTATTCATCTCCGTACATAGCACCGGAGGGATGTTCTCTTTCTCCTTTTTGTGTCCTGCATGATTTAATGCTCGAGCCTCAGGTGATGCCTTGAAGTCTTGCACCTTGGCCCTCTGGATACCATTGGCTGACTGCATCACATTTCCCCGAGACGGGAAAGGCACTTGACCATTTAAGTCACCTAGTGGTTGTGTTCCGCTGTGGTGTCCTGTGCTTACTAGCATTGTGGGTCCCTTCTTGAGCTGTACTGGCCTTACTTTTGTGGGGTCTAGTGTTTCCTCTGCAGAACTTGCCTGAAAAGCAGCTGGTCTTGCTTCCTCCTTAGACTGAGTTGCCAGAATATGTGATCCACTTGCTTGACATTGGGAATGAAAATTACCCGACTGCTTTGGATCTACTCCTGTAGGTACTGCCTCATCTCCAACTTTGCTGCACGGGGGTGCTGCTGAGCTTGATGGTGTACTCTTTACCACCTGTGTTTTGGCATTCCCATGAATTGCCTCTTTTGTTTCAGAATTTGCCTGTTGTTGCTGCTGAGAAGGACCAGATTTTTTCATGGCTGACTGCCTTGGCTTTCCACCTTGGCCGTAACCGGGATTTTCGGCACGATATGCTTGCGGATGCATTGCTGTTTCATTCATCACAGATGGCTCCAATACAAAACTGACAGTTTTCTTCATCTTCTTTGATGGAGGGAGTGGTGGTAGTTGGTTTCGACAAGCAATCTTCTGTTCTGTAGCTTCATTTAGAGCAGCGCCAAATTCTCTCATTATTTTCTGCCGAATCGCCTTTGGGCATATTTCCTTGGGGTTGAATGGGAAGCCCAAATCCAAGTCTTCCCCCCTCAATAACTCTTCGAACATTCTCTTTGCTTCGGTTGCCATGTTTATGTCATCAATATCCCACATTTCTTTCACTTCAAAAAAAGAGAAGCGTGGTTCCTGGGAAACAACAGTTTTGAATTCTGTCATCACAAGGTCTCTCATACAAATCCTATCTGCCTCATCCAATCCTTTTGCCTTCTTGTCCTTCTTCTTTTCAATCAGAAATTGCAACGTGCGTTGTTCATCATCATTGCTGCTTGGGTTTTCAGCTGCGGGATCCTCATCCCGATCGGAGCCACCATTGCTGCCTGAACCACCGTTGCCACCTCCGTTGTC